ATTTGATAAAGTACTTATATACAGAATACAGGGTTTCCCAGGTGGCGTTAGTGGTAAAGAACCCGCCTGCCAATGCAGGAGACGTAAGCAACACAGGTTCTCCCTGGAGGAGGGCACAGGAACCCATTCTAGTATTCCTGCTTGGAGAATCCCATGGACAAAGGGGCCTGGCAGGCTAGTCCACAGGGTTGCAGAGAGTCAGATGTGACTGAAGTGATTTAACACATACAGAATATATTCAGAATCTTCAAAACTGAGTAAGAACGCAAACAGCTCAATTTAAAAATAGGTGAGTGTGACAAAAACCACTGCAATGATGTACAGTAATTAGCCTCCAACTAATAAAAATAAATTAAAAAATTAAAAATAAATAAATAAATAAAATCATAAAAAAAATAAAAAAGATAAAAATAGGTGAAAGATTTGAACTTGATCTCATCAAAGAAATCATATACAATGGCAAATAAGCACGTGAAAAGAAGCTCAATGTTATCAGATATCAGGGAAATAGTAACTACACCTGCTACATAACTTATTATAGTGGTTGACAAGAAAAAGAAATCCCATTATCAGGTGGTGGTGGTGCATTTCTACAGGAACTACAACTCTCATATACTGCTTGTGAGACTGTAAATTGGTTAAAAAAAAAAATACCAAGAAACAGTACACTTGTTTCTAAAAAGAAAACAACTGTCAGGATTCATCCATTTCATTCCTAAGTTCTGATTCCAAGAGAAAAGAAAGCATATGTCTACACAATAGGTGTACCACACAGCAATTTTACATGTAATAGTCCAAAACTGAAAACCCACATGTTCATCAACATGTGACCGGAACAACCAAATTTATAGCATATCCATACAAGAAAAGCAGTAAGAGCTATGTACTATAGACACATCATCACACAACAAATACAGAGGAATTTCAAAGTGTGCTGAGTAAAAGAAACCAATCCAAAAGAGTAAGCGCTGTCAATTCCATGTCTATGTTATGCATGGGCCTCCCAGGTGGCACAGTGCCAACGCAGGACATGTCAAAGACGTGGATTTGATCCACGTCTGGGTTGGGACGATCCCTGGAGCAGGAAATGGCAACCCACTCCGTATTCTTGCCTGGGAAGTCCCATGGACACAGAAGCCTGGCGGGCTACAGCCCAAGAGGTCACAAAGAGGGGTCACACACACGTTACATATACAAAAGACACAAACTAATGTAGAGGAAAGCAGATCAATGGTTGCCCAGGGGTAGGAAGGCAGGCAAGTAAGGGTGAGAGGAAGGAATTACAAAGGGGCAAAAGGAAACTCTGGGAGATTATAGATGTTTATTTGTTTTCTTGATTATCTGACTATATTCCTAATCACGATGTCTTGATGGCTTCACAAAGTGTATGTATGTTCAAAAGTATTCAATTATGCCCAATGTTCACAGCCGCATTATTTACAATTTGCCAAGATATGGAAGCAACCTAAGTATTCAGATTGGATGAATGAATAAAGAAGATGTGGTGTATATATACAATGGAATACTACTTAGCCATAAAAAGAATGAAATTTTGCCATTTGAAGCAACATGGATGGACCTGGAGGTTATTACACTAAGTGAAATAAGTCAGAGAAGGACAAATATTATGATATCACTTGTATGTGGAATCAAAAAAATAAACCAGCAAACACAACAACAAAAGAAGCAGACTCACAGAGAACAAAGTAGTAATTACCAGTGGGCAGAGGGAAGGGGAGGGGGCAAGATGGGGTAGAAGATTGAGAGGTACAAACTACTATGCATAAAATAAGCTAAAAGGACACAGTGCGTAACATGGGGAATATGGCCAATTTTATAACTATAAATGGAGTAAAACCTTTAAAAACTGTGAATCACTATATTGTACACCTCTTATACAATATTGTGTATCACCATATTACAACTTTTTAAAAAGTATTCAATTATATGCCTTATATTTGTGTGATATATCATTTCTCATTTATATTTACGATATTTATATAAATGATATTTATATCATTTATATCTCAATAAAGTTACTAGAAAGAATGATCCAAAATAATCAATATATTAGCTATGTAAGCACTTACCTTTTTTTAAGCCTAGAAGACTGAACTGTTACCTTGCCATACAAGAAAATTAACATTTAGTCAATATACATTATATGCTAAGCCTTACGCTAGCCACTTGTCAGAGACTAAGTTACGTGCTTAGTGTCATCTTAAGGCCATTCCTTGGGGGAAAAAAGGGAGGGGATGGGGCACAGCAAGACGGTAATATGAAACTTTAGCAACTAGACAAGGTTTTATTTCTATTCTGTAATAATTCTAACTTCCAGTTCCTAAAAATCAAATATACAACACTATCAATAAACACAGATTTAAATCTAAATCCTCCAAGTTCTATAAATTCAGCAGGAACTGTCCCTCAGTGGGACTACATGCCAGGACAAAGGTTCACATTAGATGCTTAAATTACGTTCTCATATACTGGTAAGCACTGAATTCTAAAAAGACCCTTAGTGAATGGCAGTTTAATTTAAAGTTTAAAAATATAGTTTAGATGGGACCAACAAAAATCAAAATCCTGTGTACCTGGGAATACCCTATTCTGCAAACTTATTTCTTCATAGTGGTTATGTATTAATAAAACGTGCACTTAACTTGCAAAGAGGATTTGAAGTGGCTCTCCCATCTGCAAAATGGGAGACCTCTAAGACATCTTTCAGTCTTTGTAGTTCTACTCTCCCCTACTCATTAGCTTAGGAATTACGCTAATTATATTTCAAAGTCACTGTGACCACTCAGAAATACAGAATATTTTATTCAATTAATTAATAATAGAACCAAGTATAGTACGCAGAGGTCCATCTTTTTTGTTCTACATTTGACAAGGTTTACTTCAGTACTATTGCCATTTGGAGCTAGAAAACTGTTGTGAGGGATTATATTATCCTGAGCATTTCAAGATGTTCAGCTGACCTGCTACCCACTAGATGCCAGAAGAATCTCTCCATAGTTATGACAATCAATAGTGTCTCCAGACATTCTCACTGTCCTCAGGGGAGCAAAACAGTCCCTGTTGAGAATTACTAAAATGAGTGCAGTAATCTATCTGGACCTCCTTCACTCACAGGGAGGGAGTCTGAAAACAGAGTCCTCCATCTGAAAGTTCTTAAGAATATTTTAAATGTTTATAGATAGTATATGCTCCTTTTTAAAAAATAATAAATTACTAAAAGCAAAGGTTTTTTTTTAAAAAAAACAAACAAACACTGTTTTGTTTTCAAAGAAAGTTAGGCCCTACAAAATACCTGATACCTATGACCTCTTCATTCAGACCATGTCTCCAGGGTGGGAAAAAAAAACTTCTAAGGCCAACGAAGTATAAACAAACCATTCCTTAACTAACAAACCGTGGCAATTAATTTAGAAAATGTCAATACTCTATTGGAATTCAACTTTAGAGCTCTGCCATTATCCAACCTACATCTTGTCCTAAGTAGGTTATCAAATATCATTGTCTTCAATTTCAAACTGCCATTATCTGTAGTAAATCTCCTACACATTTAACTTGCCCTGTCGCAGTCTCCTAGCTAAATTTTTTCTTCAATGGCTTAACTCTCAAGTAAAATGAAAATAAAACGATCACAATGTCAACTATGTCTAGAAAATTTGTATTTTCTTGAAAAAATATCTTTTTACATTGCTAAACTGGACTTAACTGCTTTCTTACTATTACACAAGAATAAATATAATTTACTTGTGATACAGATTTGCTGCCATAAATGTAGAAAGAGTGAAAAACAAACTGGAGACATGAAATCTGGGTTCCAGCTGACTCTGCCTCCTCGTACTTGGATGACCAGGTAACAGCCCCAAACTTCAGCTTAGTTGTAAAAAAGGAGAATAATAATTTAACTAACTCTAAAGTTATTGTGTGGATCAGTTATCACTTATGTGAAGTAATTCTGTAAACAGTAAAGTGTCATACAAAAGTTAGGTACTGGTAGTATCCTGTTGGTGTGCGTAAACCACATAGTAGAGAAACATACACCTCAAATAAGAGAGACTTAATTCACTGAATAAACGTCACTTTTCAAAAGGAACATTCTTTACGAAGAGAGCCCGAGGACTAGGATTCAGGCATCTGGGTTCTAAACTCAGTTCTGCCATTAACTCTCTGTATCAACAAAGGCAAACTTTCCTTTTCACCTCAAATTTCGTATAAAAAGATCCAAGTTCTGGACCAGTTGTTCCATAAGTATTATTACAGCCTATTGGGTCACGAAATTACCAAGTGTGCAAGAAACTCATTTAACCCTATATCCACAATTCAAGAGTAGTTTGGTCGGACGCAAAACAGAAGGTAACAGACGGTAAGAAAATTTTATTTAAAAATAGAACGCTGTATGAGTCTCCAAAAGAAAAGGAAACTATAAACTACCTTGTTTTCTACAATTAATCATAGTTCTGCCTCTAAATGATAGTAATTATGAACAAGGTGCATTAACAAGGGCGGGGCTCTTTCCCACAAGCTTTTAGGGAACCACCCACTTCCCAAAGAGGTGTAACTGCTTCCTCCTTGCCCTCCTTAGCCAAGAAACTTGAAAGATTAGGGTTTATATTGTCTTTGTTTTTTTTTTTTCTTTCACGTGGGTGGGGATGGCGGTAGTCATCTGACAAACATATCCTATAAACACCATTATCTGCAACAACAAGTCTCCAGAAAGTCTAAAAATAATCTAAGTTGTTAGGGTAATAAGTGTTTTTAAAACAGTTGGGGATATTAAAACAAGGTAACCCTGTGTGTGATTAGCGTTTGCCAACTATCAAAGGTTCCCTTCCCCAAATTATCCGCCCTCCCGCATCTGTAGAGGCGATGCCTCGCCCTCCACTAGAGCATCGCGCCAGGGCCGGAGGGAGAGTCCCCAAGGGCTCCCAGGAGAGGGAAGGCCGGGCAACCCAGGCCTCCAGACGCCGCCACCCCTCGCCCCTCACCAATGACGATGCGCAGGTGCTTGAGGCGGGTCAGCGCGTCCTTCTTGGTGTCCAGCACCTTCTGGGTGGACTTCTTCACGTCCCCGTGCGGCTTCTTGGAGAACATCCTGCCGCCGCCACGGCCGACTCCGGCCCCCTCCCGGCCAGGTCACAGCGGCGGAAAGTGGAGGGAGTGGGCGGGGAGGAGACTAATGCGAGCGGCTCATTCACTCCCCAGCCTTGCGGGCCCCGGCGCGGCCGACTCCTCCCAGACCAAGGCCAGGGCCGCCACCTCCACCCGACTCGCGCGGCGTCTGCAGGGCACCTTCGCCTCTAGCTCCAATATGGCGGCTCCCCTCTTCCAGTTCTGCACGGAGGGACGGAGACCCGGGCGAGTCGCCCGCCGCCGCCGCCGCTTCCTCCGGCCGCCGCTCGCCGCCACAGGCCGGGGCCGGGCACCCAGGACCCGTAGCCGCGGAGGTGCGGCTATCGGCGGCAGCGGCAGCACTCCTCTCTCCCTGAGGCCCCCTTAAGGTTAAATCTTCTTTAGCAGCCGCCAAGGAGACGGAGTGTGGTGATGGGGTTTCACGACTTTGCCGTCGGTGGCGAATGGTCCCCGTGGCAACCACCTTCTGACGTCAAGAGTTCTTGATGACGTCACGGCAGCGTGAGATCACCCGTGGCATTACCTTCCTTTAGTTTCCTGTGTAAGTAGACAGAGGAGTACCCTGAGGGAGTCAGGGAATGGAAATCCTGCGTGCGCCTTTGAAAGCACAGTGTCTCCTAGCGAAGCCCCCAGAGTAGTCTGTTTTTAAAGGTCCTCCGCCTGTTCCCGCTATTTACTATGTAACTTAAGATCGTAGCTCCAGAACATCAGAGTAGATGTGCAGTGTAGTTTAGACGCCATTTCTGAATGCTTTGTAACACCCCTTAATTTCCTTAATTTGAATTTTGTATAAAGAATTTTTGTTTATATGGCAAAGTGATGATTAATAATTTACTGTAGTTTCGAGATTCGTGGTAGTACATCCTCTTGGTTAAAATTGTCTTGCACAAATGAGTTCTCCCAAAAGCTTGTTGTAGTAGAAAGAAAAGTTACAGGGAAAAGAAATCTGGAGAGCTGTAAGGGTTAATTTTCTTCATCTGTAAAGAGTTCACAAATCCAGGAGAAAATTGCTAAAGCACAAGTAGAAAAGTTAGTAGAAAACATGAAACAAGTATTACAGAAGTATGTCCTCAACTAACACATGTGAAAAATGTTCACACGTGGGTAATTTTTAAAAATCAGATTAAAACAACATATATTTAAACAATTTAAACAGCTTTTATTGACGTTTACTTGATATACAGTAAACTGCACATTTTCAAAATGTGCAGTTTGGTAAGTTGGATATTTGCATATGACGATGAAAACTTAAGCAGTCAAAATAGTGAACATACCCATCAGCCCCCAAATGGTCCTCTTGCCCTTTTGTAATCCCTCCCTCCCACTGCCCCCAGCCTGGTCTTTGGCCAAACACTGATTTGCTTTGTCACCTGGAATTTGCATTTTCTAAAGTTTCATGGAAGTGTATGCTTATAGTATACTCTTGTCTGATTTGTTACACTCAATATAACTTGAGTGTAATTTTATAATTTTAAAATAATGTAACATTTCATCGGTCAAACTAGGAGTTTAAGTTAGTCATCTTACAGCAGGTGAAGGCAGCAGCAGACAACCCTATTGCTTACTAGAAAGAAGCAGTAATGACTACAAAAGTTGGTATTGTGTATCAAGCCACTTTAAAATGTTTATATATACTTCGATTCATTAGTTTCACTTTTAGGACCCTATTCTAAACTATCAGAAATGGGAAAATATTTATATAAAAATATTAAAGCATGATTTATAACACTGAAAGATTGGAAACAATGAATGTCCATTAGGAGATAAAACATCCAGTAGGTGGAATGTCACGGAACCATGAAAATTATTAATATGAAGACTTTTTAATGACATAGAAAATACTCAAGACACTATTAAATGAAAAAGCAATACAATGCTGAAGATATTATCAAAACTATGAAAGAAGCTAAGCATGTAAAATGTAGTTAGAAAAAAAGTCAAAAAGCCTCCAAAATTGTGATTATAGCTGCAAAGTAAAATCACAGGTGAATTTAATTATTTTCTTTACATTTTTTGCTTAGCTTTTTTAAACTAAAAGTCATATATTGCTGTCATGATTTAACAAGTATATTTAAAGAAAATTAAAATCTAATGTACTAATTTTAAACTCACAAAACAAATTAAGATGTATGTGTAGGAATAGAAACTCCTTAAAAATAAAGCCTTTTTTGAAAAATTTATGATATGTCCTACTGTGGTACAGAATAAATATTTGTTGATATTTAAATTATGTTTACATTAAAATGGTTTCTTTTGCTAGTATAAGAGTCATCCAACCCCATGATTCTGACTATCACTTATTTGGTGATTTTAGACACTTATGTCCCTATTAGTAACCCAAGTCTCCTTTCTGAGCTTCCACAAGCTACTCAAATTCAGTATATGCAAAACAACATTCATCATCTTTGTCCTCTCCACTCCCAAACCTGATCCTCCTTCGTTAAATATCTTCACTGGTACTACCACTATTAGCTCAGATTTTCAATCCAGTTGTTTCATCTTAAGGCTTCTTCTTTGTCATCTAGTCAGTTACCAACAGCTGATGAGTCTACTTAAGTATTTCTTGATTTAGTCCTCTTCTCTCCTTTATCACCACCTTTGTTCAGGCTCAGGGCTTCACCATCTCTAGACATGTGTGCTAGAAATGGCAGGGGTTTCCTCCCTACCCCCACATCTTAGTAAGATTCGAGTACCCATTCCTTTTTAAGTAAATTTTAAGAGTAAAAAAAGATGCCCAATGGTCTTGCAATCAGTCCCTGAATATCTGTATTAATGAGGAAAAGATGTGGCATGGATAAATCAAGACATTTCTTTTTCTTTTTTTTTTTGGTATACATATTTGCTTAAGGATATATTTTATAGCCAGGAAATGCACAGCACTTTGGATCAAAGAACAAAACCCATATTGAGGAAAGGCTATAAACATGTCCAGATTTTATGCCTTGCTCCCACTTCATAGTGATTATAACCAGTCTCTAAGTTTGTTAAGATGATGCAGGAAAAGCAGACCTAGACTCTTGCTCTTTCTAAACTTATTGAAGTGGAATTTTAAAAAAAGTAATTAGCCACATTGATTGTGGTGTATCTATGCTAGCTTGCCTACCATCTGGTAACATACCCAGATTTTTCTTTGGAAAGCCACCCCTCTCTTGGTCTCATCTGATATGCTGCTGCACTGCCCCCTTTAGACTTTGGTATTCCAGCACTCGGCAAAGAAAGTGTGTTAGGGATCGGCACATGACCAATTCAGCCTAATAAAACTCTCTCCTACAACTACTGCAAAAAAGAAGTTCTTTTTTCTAAGATGAAGGCCTGGAACTGCTAGGAATCAACAGGTGAAAAGAATCTGCTGAGGACAAGGCCAATACTCTTGAGAACAGAGGGGATAGTTAAGTAGCGAGTAAGTCTTGAATTACTTGGGCTTTTGGATCCGACGTGCCTGAAGTACCATGGCCTTTTCTATTTCCCAGGTCAACAAAGTCCTTCTTTTGCTTTAGCCAATTTCACTTGGGTTTCAGTCACTTGCAATAGGAAAAGTTCCTGACTTAGACATTTTAAAGATACTCTACTAGGCTGAATAGGGAGTAGAAATTTTAAAGGAAAAAAAAAAACACCTGCTTGAAAGCAAGACTACACCCCTCTTCTGAAGTCCTCCAGTGCTTTTTCTCTACCATGACACTCACCTTACTCTATGTTATAGTCATTCTATGCTTCATCTCCATTATATTAAGCTGTAATGTGTCTTTAAGGCAGGTTTTTAAAATTTTTCCTATGTTGCATAATTCCAGGCTCCAAGAGTTGCTTTTCCTCTGTCTTCTCTCTCTCTCTCTGCTCTCTCTAGTGCTACCTGGCATGAGGTAGGCATCCAATACATATTTATGGAAAGAATAAGTAAACACTAGGCACTCAGTAAATGCTTACTGAATTTATGCAAAGATAATAGTTGCAGTTTCCGCTGAGGATGATGGAAAGAGGACTAAGGAAGGAGAAACAGTGCTCAGCAGGGGCAGACCAGTATGTAAGCAAAGTCAATCTTTGATTATTTTTCAGGTTTCAATTCACAGGGAAATGTATTCTATGCTTTCCTTAGGGTTTGAGGTGGAATTTTTTTTCCCATCTTTTATGTTGATCTATTTCAACTATGAAGCTTCAAATAGCTATTAAAGCTTTAAAAGATGAGAAAGTTGTACAAGATTGAGACAAGAATAAAGATGCAAGGAATAGGGGAAAAGAAAAGTAGTCTTTATTAAATGTTTCCATGATTTATCCATGAAAATGAACATAAGTTGTGGTCCCCAGAGACTCAAGCAGAAAGATAAATTTGGAGGCTATATTTTGGGCAATTCATTCCGTCCCAAATGTATTACTAAGAATATTTCGCATACTATTTTTTTTTGTTTTGTTTTGTTTTGTGTTTGTTTTGTATATATTTTCTCTATTTGCTATATCATATCCCAGTTTTTTTTCGTGCTGCAAAGAGAAAGGCTTCTAAGCAGAGCTATATGTTTTCTGTGAAATTAATCTTGCTTTCCTTTCCTATTATTGTGGTTTTTTAAATCCTCTTTCCCTATTTGTACCTCATACAAACATGACTATGCAAAGAAAAACACTTTCCTCTGCAAAGAAAAATTCAGGATGTCCTATTACATTGATGGAGTCACCAAAAGAATCTGCAATAGCTGAAAAAAATCTGTAAAATTCTGAATGGTATAAATGGAAATTGTGCTTGGAAAATTTCTCATATAAAATAAGAGTAAGTCTGCTTGTTTGCAAAACTGTTTTCCTGACCCATATCAATAGCCCTGTCTAAAATACAATGAAATACTTGATTAGCATAGAAAAATTTTTAAATTCAGCTAGGAGAGCTGTAAGACCTACCCCAACATGTTAAAAAAAAAAAAAAAACCACCCCAATGTGTTGCTTAATAGTAGTTTATTTCAATGACAATATATCCTTTTTATAAGTTTACAAAAATTATTCATTTCCCACATGCATAGCTTGTATCATGAAAGTTACAGAGCTTGTTTTGAGGAAACATTATGATTCAGTGGAAAGATGAATTATTCAAGGGATTTGGGTTCTAGTTCCTCTCAGCATCAGTTTTCTCATTAGGAAAGACAAGATAAGGTGTGCTCTCAGTGATTTGTGAAATTCAGGAAATAATAGTGTTTTCAGCCACGATCTTTAAGAGTTAGGTAGATCTGAGCTGGACCTTTCATTTCAGGATTTACTTTATCAGGGATCTCTGATGTATAGTTTAATCTCTCTAAGCCTCATTTTCTTCATACGTAAACCATATCAGTAATTGTGATAATTAGGTAAGAAGTGGTATTGAAAGTTACTTCTACAATGGCTGACATATAATGTTACTTCCCTTTCATTTCCTTGATAGACTTTTAGTGGAGCAACTTGTGTGATTGTTTAAAAATTTGCAACCCCACTATCCGATATCCCATCTTCTTGCA